AGACAAGCTGCTTTACCACACCAGGAAATTAAAGGAAACACATGTTCTCAAACAGTTTCTAACTCTGAGTAAAGCGGTCCATCATAAAATATGTTTATGCCAAAATTGGAACAGCTTCAGTTAAAGATCCACAATAAACAGTATATTTGGGTGTGAATTATCGGTACCACTTTACAATAAGACTACCCTTATAAAGAGTTTACGAATAGTTTGTAATTCATTTATTAATTAGGTTGTGAACACTTTATAAATCATTAATAAGCTTTTATAAGACATGAGATAAACAGGGCAACTGTGACCGGTTGCTTGCCAAATAGTGAGCCCACATCTATCTGTACTGCTAAGCCTTATATTGGCTACTTAGCTCACTTCGTCTTCTTCATCAGCCAGCATCCTTGGTATCTGTTGTTCACTGAGTTGATTCCCCCCCTTCCATCTTGATGTTTCTTGGCATCTCTTTATGACCATCTATGAATGAGTTACTAACATTTACAACTGCCAAAAGGGAGCCTTATTGTAAATTGTAAAACACATTCCCATATATTAACACGTACAATGAGGCTCCCTTTTACCAATTGGAAATGGTAGTAACTCGTAAAAAAATCGGAATGTGTTTAACACTTTACAAGGCTCCCTTTTGGCAGTTATAAATGTTAGTAACTGATAAATAAATGGTCATAAAGAGATGCCAAGAAACATCAAGATGGATGGGGGGAGAATCAATCAAAAGGCTTAGTCATCTTGCCAAATAGTGACCCTGTGTTGATGTATGAAAACTATGTTAGAACTGGTTTATAAATGCTTCTTAAAGGGCCCATGTCATGCTTTTCCGGTTATTACCCGTCGCCATGTGTGTTATGCAGGTTACATGCATGTAAACGGTCTGCAGAGTCACAAACCCTCAAAGTACACCCTGTAGCGAGTAAAACTCTAACACAGAAAAGACCTGTCTATGCTGCCCCAGAACGCCTCGTTGGAGATTTCTCTTTTTCTTCCTGGGTACAGTGACGTGCCCATACCCAAATGGACCCATTGGTCCAAATGGACCAATCCGTGGAGCCGTTACGTTACGTCCGCGGAGCCGTTACATTAAGAAAAGATTGAGTGTGTGCGTGTGAGGAAGTTCGCGGATTGGGGACGCGGCGAGGCTGTGAGTCGGTGTGCAGGAGCTCCAACAAGCCGTTTAGGACAGAGAGTGAATACACATACTATACAGAGATGCTGTATGAGAAACCAATGTGAGTTTGGAAAATTGCACAATATAAATGTATTTTAGTAGACCTCAACAATGGAATTATGATCAGTAGAAATGGCCATGACATGGGACCTTTAAGATAAATAAAGTGTTTGCAACCTAATTAATAACCTAATTATAAACCCTTTATGAATCCTTTATAAGGGTAGTCTTATTGTAAAGTGGTACAGAATTATCAGCATTTAATGGGAAATGTATATTATGATATATTGTTCAGAGAAGGAAATGATAGCTATAGATAGATAGATATAATAAATCATCTTCTGGTGATACAAAGCAAAACAAAACAATTAATACAGAGAAGAAGAACAGGCGTAATGGGGAAACAATGTTTTCTACAGTTTCAGAGGAAGACAAGTCTTTTGATAATTAAAGGAGTAATAATATATCATCAATGTTACTTCAATAAATCTCAGCCTCTCGTACCCTCAGGGGTTGAAGTACTACAGGTTATAAACTTATTTTGGAAAAACAAAAATGTAAATTAATTAGCTATATTTCCAGTATCGGCCTTAAGAGTTAGGGAACCTTTGGTTATCGGTATTGGCTGGGAAATATTTATTTTATGCATCTCTAGTTTTAGTTATTTTCACATTATAGTTTTCAGTGTGTTGTCTGTTCAGTGGATTGCAGAGGGTGAGGCTTTGTTAGAAAAGGTGACGTCATGTACTTGCACCAAACTACATTTTTGCAACCCACGAATCAAAAGTGTGATGAAAGATTGTAAGCTTATGTTGTCAATCAAATGTATTAGACCACACCTGCACAGTACTTATTAAGGCAAATAATTGTCTTTCTTTCAAAGATAAACTCCTATTATTATATATAGGATTTTTCTCTTTCGAAAACGTTATCATATATGCTTTCACCAGATTTTCAGCCACTTTCATGGTTCATTTACCCGCAAGTACCTAAAACTAGACCGGGAGTCCTTAAAAATCCCTGAAGCTTAACAATTTGAGCCTCGGCACATTTATTCTACTCTGAGAGAGAGGAAGGCTACAGTCGTGAGGGGGTTGAGGGCATTGTTGGGGTAAAGTGAGACAAATGAGACCCTGGAGAGTACTACTTAGCCACTCATAAAGGTCAGATATGGAGCCACACCAGTGGATGCTAATCCTGACCCCCGGGACGTGTGCACATGCGCCTGTGGATGCAATTGTTTCACAGTCCTGTGACATTTAAACCTGAACGAGCAGACAATCCTGGGTGTACGTGTCTGTGTTACTGTTTGTCTGGAAGCAGTGGGCTTTAGAGCCAGTGGAGGTTTAATTAGAAATGGCCTCGGGGTCAATTAAAACATTAGAGGCTATTTTTTCATGTTGACAACAGGCAGCAGTTAGTCCTGTAACTATTATCTTGATTTTGTTTACCATTAGAAACTTTTAGATTCTGCATTTTTTGTTGGAAGTGAATGAAACATTTCAATAACCTGAATATATTTTAATAAAACAATATAATTGCCTTTGCATCTGTACACAATGTTGCTTTTATTTGTATGTTCTCTACCTATAGTTTTGACATTACAGCAAAGATGCCGCCACTTTAATTCATATTAAAAGGGCTCTTTTCTGCTAATTCTCAGGTTCATATCAGTATGTAGTGTCTCTACTGTGACATGTCTCCATGCTTTAATGTTCAAAAAGCTCTTTATTTTTATCATACTGCCTGTGCTGCAGCACCTCTTTTCACCCTCTGTCTGAAACCAGAGCCCAGTCTGCTCTGATTGGTTAGCTGGCCGGCTCTGTTGTGATTGGTCAACCGCTTAGAAATGTCCCACCCCTTGACCTATCACATACAATGTCTTGGAGAGATAGCCAATAGAAACGCTAGTGTTGCATACTGATGGGGGGGGGGGGGGGGGGGGGGGGAGTGTGGGAGAGAAACCCCCTCTGGAGGGAACAGGGATTTTAGCTTCCCAAATATAATGTAATTGCCTTGACATCTGTGCACACTTTTAGTTGTATTATTATGTTTTTACATTACATTTACATTTTACATGCATTTACAATTATTAAGCAGTAAAAAAAAAAAATAATAATAGTAACTATTCTCTTGATTTTTGATTAGTTGTTTACTATTTTAAACTTTAGACTTTCTAGAATGCTTCTTTTAATTGAACATAATATTGAAATAACATGAATTACAATAATATCATTTCCTTGGCATCTGTACCTTTATATATACAGTCTATGATCTGTACACACACATCTCAACTATTTCCCCCTATAGCAGAGATACCGTTAAGATGCCGCCACAGGCGAATCATTATGAGGCATCACAGTAGCCTACGTTAGTCATTATGTAGGCTAGTCACACAGTCTAATTGGCATTTCACTAATAACACACAGGCAGGAAACAACAGTGTTGCAGCTTGCTATAAGCTTGTCACAGGTCACACTGATTGGGGCACCTGAGAGCAGGGAGAATGCAATTTGTGAGTTTTAGCTGAATGTGGTGCAGATAACGACGGACGGGTCACAGCAACACGGAGTAATGAGCCGAGAGAAATGCACAATATGCTGTTAATGCATGTGTGTGTGGGTGACAGAGAGGAAGAACTGTGGACGTCGACTATATACTGCAACATTTCTGCTTTAGAGAACATGTTTATTCTTAAAGATATTCTGTTTGCATGTGTCTACTTACGAATCTACCAAAAAGGCCTAATCCTCCAGGTAATTTCTTCAAAAGAAAACAAATGTAAACGGTACACGAGCTTTGCAGAACGGCTCAGTGGATGCAGAAGATATGAGATAATTCTACAAAAATATAAGCACAAAATTTGGCTCCTGTAAAACTGAATAGATGTTAAACTCGTGCAGAAGTCGCAATAATACAGCAAACACGGAAATAAACCAAACCCAGAAAGCAGTTCATATCTGATCATTAATAGCAAGGAGCACCAGTTTAATCTGAAAAAAGACCCATTAACTATTAAATTGCCATGAATTATTGTAGACATTATTGGTCCCCAGACGATAAACCCTACAGACTCACTTTAGTGATCCTACCTTTTGCTCCATCGCCCCTATGAGGCGGACATTTGTATTTAACAACTACTGAATGGATAGCAATGTAATTTGGTATAGACATCCTTGTTCCTCAGAATTATGGAGATTACTTTTCACCAAGACTCATAATTTAACTTGTTTAATATTTTGGTTATTGACCATAAAAACTAAAGACATTCCCCTCATCCCCAGTTGTCCTTAGGGCTAAATATTATGTGATGACTGGCTCAATTTAAATTGTGAAATTACTTGTATATATAGCCATGTTAGCATGCAGCTCCGTGAGGTCAACTCTGCTGTTGCTTTTCACTCTTACTGCATCACCGTTTAATACTTGTTGAGTCTGTTGTGGATATTTATAATGTTCACAAACATTTGTTGAACAATAAAATATTGAAAATTGTGATACTCAAAAAACTCACCCGACCAATGCAGATTTGTGGCATCACAGATTGCAGTGGTAGCCTACAAAATGAGACAGTTACTCCATCTTGTGGAAGGGAGAAGAAATGCCAGTTCTATGATAGTGGTGAATAACACAATGTCAAACAGGACATCTGACTACATGATGGGAAAAGCAAGACCACATAAATGCTGCAGGAGTTTAATAGCAGAGCACTTGTTTTAATATGCTTGTGTCGTTTTCACGCTATTTTCTTCTCGTTTACTTCCCTGTTATGTCAAACACTGAAGCAAAATGTCCGATAAATGAAGGATATGCGACCAAAACAGTAGAACACACACATGTAACTTTAATTTACGGACTGCTTTGGGAAATAACAGCAACAAAAAACACAGTTACTAGATGTGAGACCAGTTAACCTGAACAAAACCCTTTATTCTTTGAGTAAAAATGTCAAAAACCATAACTTACAAATCGAATTCAGCATTAAAAACTGTAAGCTGATGGCAGCAACGCTGCAGAATGGTGACATGTACAGTTCATTCAAAACCTTTTTTTCAATAAAGTCGGTACTAACGTATCATAGATATCTTTTTTTTAAATATTTTTAAAAATTAAATTACGTTAGGATTCTGTACTTCTCTTGTTGAGTAGTTTCAGTCATTAAAAAAAAAACAGAAGCACTACAATATAATGCAACGTAAGATGATGGTTTCTTTTTAGAAATGACAAAACTCTTCTTTGAATATGAGCTCCTTTACTCCCTGTCACCTTCATCCTCCTTCTTGTCATGTGGCACATTGTTGTCATTGTCTTCTTCACCTTTCTTCTTCTCCTCTTCATCCTTTTTCTCCTCCTTGTTCGTCTCCTTTTTCTCCTCCTTGTTCGTCTCCTTTTCATCCTTTTTGTCCTTCTCCCCAGGTGTATTTGTTTCCGTTTCTGCATCAGGCTTTGGCGTGTCCTCTTTAACTACTTCCTGGACATTGTACTTCCTGTACAGTGAATAGTCTTTTACCACACTGAGGCAACACACCGCTTTGATGACCTCCACAACGATTGTCAGTTCTGGGTTAGTCAAATCAACTTTGTTCTTTGGGTTAAGCATCCCCACCATGCCTGGAACAGTCAAAAAACAATTGTCAGTTTTATTCAATGACAACCAAAAAGAGGACATTTGTTTTAATTGACATTATAACAGGGCATTAGGGCGGTCCCTAAAATTGAAAGTCTAAGCTCCAACCCCCAGAATTCATTCTATTAGTCAAGAAAACTCTCCTGGTGAATTTTTTCCTCAATCTGCCAACATGTACCCCTCCCTCATCGACCTGGGCTGCCACACCAGCAGCCACGGTGCTGCAACTGAGGCTACACTTCAAGGTTGATGAGGGAGGGGTACATGTTGGCAGATTGAGGAAAAAATTCACCAGGAGAGTTTTCTTGACTAATAGAATGAATTCTGGGGGTTGGAGCTTAGACTTTCAATTTTAAGGACCACCCTACGTGAGGCTAAACTTCAAGGTTGATGAGGGAGGGGTAAATGTTGTTGGAATTTGAATAAAATTCACCAGGAGAGTTTTCTTGACTATCATAATGAATTCCGGTGGTTGGAGCTTAAAATAAATGAATTTGAAAATGGACATGGCACTAAGGACCACCCTACAGGGCATGTTAGCGGGATTTCAAACCTACCTGCAATGGTTTTGATGATTTCGTCCCTCTTGTTGTGGCTGCTGTTGCGGGCCTTGAAGGCGATCTGGTAGGTGCCGCAGTTCGGGGTTTTGAACCAAGGCTCCAGGAAAGTTGTCAGGTATTTCACCATGTCCTCCTGGAACGCTTTGCATGTCCCAGTTACCTGGAAGAGACCAAAGCAAGGTTAAGAAATTGCGTACAACAGCATATACCTTAAGCTTAATTCTTTCTGCATTTTAATTGCATCACTTGCACTATTTTACATCCTTATTTATTATATGTTGCATTGTTGGAGGAGCGTGGAACTTAAGATTGTAATCACCAACAACTACACTTATATATATATATATATATATATATATATATATATATATAATATAATAATAATAATAATCTGTCTATTGAACTCTCAGGACACATTGACATTTACAATAACTGTCAATGTGTCCTGAGAGTTCAATAGACAGATTATTTGTGAAAAAACGACGACTCTTAACATTAGCCAGATTAAAACACACCCTAAGGAAACCAACAAAACAGAGCCGATGAGTCTCTATGGTAATGAACTCTGAATACGTAGTGATAATCAAATATGAATTAAGATCGTGTTACTATAATTTCCTGTTCTTTGCCTCAAATGTTTTCAGAAACATACTTTAGTGTACGGGTTAGCTGTAAGATTAATGTGCATGACAAACTAAAGCATTGGAGCACTTTTTCTGTTTCTCAACTAAATATGTTTCTGAAGACATTTGTGGTGAGAAATAAGAAGCACAGTTACAGAATATGAATTCATAAATCATCAACGCTGCCTAGTCTGGCAGTGGATGAGCCGTAATCAATGAATACTGCATTAAAGACATCTCGCTCTGATTGTTGTTTTCCTTCTGGGGCACTTGAATCTTGCAAATGTAATTAGGAAGAACTTAGAATATCCGTCAGGATATAGTTGCAGTTTCAGCAAATATGACAAAAAGCTATATTTTTTTATAAACGGACCACAAAAAATTGATTATTTCCAATAATCTCATTTGCAATTAACAAACAAACCAAATAAATGTGGTTTGAGAGGTCACAATTTCCTGCTATATGACCTCTGTTATCAGATATATTATATTAAAAACAATGTTAGCTTCTCACTGGCAGCATCCGCAGGATCACACGTGACTTGTGCTTCTTGGTGGTATGGAGATCAGACAGGATGAGATGAACCAACTTGTCAGCTTCTAGGAGAGAGAAACAAAAAAACGAATTATGGCCACAATAATATTCAAGTTTAAAATCACATCAATGATTAATTCAATGACTTTGTTCAGCTCTGGGAGCCGTATATGCACATTATGAGGGATGGGAATGTGGACTGCCTTTGAAAGGAAATTATTTAGTTTTATTTATTTTACTTGGAGGCCTATGCTTTTAATACTGGTGCAAGTTGAGGGTGTGTGTATGCATGTATGTGTCTGTGATGTACATGGTTGTTGTTCAATAAGAAAATACCAATAAACACAAAAAAATATGAATTCAATAAAAGGGGCTACCTAGATTTTGAGTTTTGATGAAGATGACATTGTTTGCTCCGCTGTCCAAAGCCATGAAGCGTCTCTCCCGTTTGGCTCCAGAAGCTTTGAGCTGTGCCACCTCCTTCTTCAGCGCTACGTCCACATCTTCTTCCTCGGCCTCCCCGTCACTGCTGCTCCCGTTTTTCTCCTGCAACTGTGGTCATGAAAAAGGCATTTTCAGTATACTACATTACTACTGCAACTTCAATATTACTTGTTTAGTCTAAAAATATCAATTGAGTACAAAAAATGTCCCTTGCTAATTACTTTTTTGTTCAATCAACACTCCAAACACCACATATATAACAATCAATTCCTCAAATGTAATATGGTTGAATCAACTAAATGTTAACAACTTTTGTCATTGTCCATCCAAACTGTTTTTACTGATTACTGTTCTCCCAAATATAAATTTTTTACCAACAAAAATTAAGAAACAAGTAGTGGTTTTGAAGATACTGCCTGGAACAGTTTAATTTAAGTCTATGGACAATACTTTTTTAAAGCACTGGCTAAGGAAGGTCCGCCAGTAAAACAACATATTTTACTTATTTTTACGTTTTAAATGACATTGTTCCTCTCTAAATGTTCGATTTCCTTTCCATTTATGTTCCAGACAGGTCCCTAAGGTTCAACATATTATTTAAATGTTCATATATGTAAGCCACCATAAAAGTAAGATCGTAAGTGTAGATGCCTTCTGTTTTTAAGCTCCTCAAATCTGAACTCATTGTATTTTTTTAAAGGGAATTGAGGAACTATCATTTTTTTAATGTGGCTTGCTGTTAATATGGAGTAAGGTTAACACCCTAGTTTTAAAAGTTGTAATCATAGCTTTTGTGAAGCACTTCGGTCTGCATATTTGAAAGAAAAGTACTTTAAAAATAAACGTGTGCAGCCAGCAACTAAATATTAAATTATTAAAGGTCTCATGTCATGCTTTTCCGGTTATTACCCGTCCCCTTGTGTGTTATGAAGGTTTTTATGCATGTAAACGGTCTGCAGAGTCAAAAACCCTGAAAGTACACCCTGTAGCGAGTAAAACTCTAACACAGTAAAGACCTCCCCAAAACGCCTCGTTGGAGATTTCTCATTTTCTTCCTGGGTACTGTGACGTGGGAATACCCAGAGGCCACACCCTCTGCCAGCATTTCACGAAACAAAGCTTCCCAAACCTCTCAGCGATTCATGCCGGATATGTACAGCGTAGGGCACTGGAGAACGATGCTGTTCCTACTTTGTTTGGACCAGCGGGAGATTCGGGTACACAACCTGTAAGTATTCATTGTTGTTTGTGTATTTATGATGTTTAAAACAAACAAGGTATCTACCACGACTGTTTAAATGGGTAAACGTTTTTCGGGCTGCTACGTTGGGATCGCGGCGAAATGCTCTCCGCAGACCCATTCTCACAGCGTTGTAAACCTTTTTCTTACTCAATATCAAGCCACACTTATTGTTTTTACTTCGGCTGTGAGTGTTTGTGTGTGCTCAGGATGAGTTTAGCTTGTTCTAGCTGTATCGCCGACACAGAAGCCTGTCTGCTCCTGCAGCAGCCCGCAGCAGTGTGTGTGTCTGTGCGAGCAGCAACGAGCCTGTCAGCTTCTCGACCAATCAGAGCACACTGGGCTCACAGGGAGGGGGGGCAGGAGCTCGAACAAGCCGTTTAGGACAGAGAGTGAATACCGGCGAATACACATACTTTACAGAGATGCTGTATGAGTAACCAATGTGAGTTTGGAAAATTGCACAGTATAAATCTATTTGAGTATACCTCAACAATGGAATTATGATCAGTAGAAATGGCCATGACATGGGACCTTTAAGGGTCAAATATCCAATTTAGTCTCCACTTTATCTCCACAGTAGATGCAGTTCACATGCTCCATTTTGCACAAGACTAACAGTGAAACAGGCCCCTGGATAAGTACAATTAAACATGTAATATTATAGTTATTATAGTATTTCGAAAGGGAATAAAATACTTTTAATATGGAGTTATCTTTAATCCTTAGTTTTATAATCATTGCTTTTATACTGTGTTTTATCCCTGCCGTTTAGTTTATTGTATGGACTTTTTTCCTCTTGCACATTCACTAAACATTCAATTATTAAGGTTTGAAAAATTGAATTTAGCCTTCACTCTGTCTCCAAAGTACATGTAGTTCACATGCTCCATTTTGCACACGACTACCTTGAAACACACTCCAAGATAAGAGACATTTTAACATGTAAAACTGAAGTGTTCCTCACCTTCTCGGGCCCATACAGCTGGTCTGCGTACTCATTGAGCAGGTTGAAGGCCTCCGCCGTGCACTTCCTCTCGTTCATGTTGCATGTGATGAGGATCCCCTGCATGCCCACCTCCAGCTCCCGGGAGCCTTTCCATCTCTTGTTGCCGTGACCCCCTCCGTACCGCTTCTTCCCCCGCTTTCTGTCGTTGGACACAGCAGCAGACATGTTAGCAGCGAGGCTTTCACTACCTAAGCTCCACAAGCAGCGCTTCTGTGCTGTTTTAGGTTACTCCGCCGAGTAAAAAAAGTAGGGCTGTAAGGAGTTTAAAAGCTATAGCGACTACAAAGTAAAACCCATGTGGACTTTAGAGAAATGATACCGTCTGTCTGCGCCTTAATGTGCGCTCAAATGAAGTTAAATTGTTTCAGAGAACCGAGGTCTCATTCAGTCACAACATAGCACGTTTTTCGGTTGCCCTGTACGGCGTGGGAGGAGGGACAAAAGTCTTCAGTGATTCGCGAAACGGTGTTCGCCGTTGGTTTTGAGCATTAACGGCATACTGGAAACCAGAAGTAGATTCAAAATTCAAGATATTTTAAAGACACATAAAGTATAACAGGCAGTTGTACTGTACAATGACATTCTTACGTGACACCTTAATCATACAAACAAACATATAAGATACAAACTAGCATATAAGAACATTTAAAAATATAAACTGACATACATTATTAAAAAAAAGAAAGTATGTGTTTATCCATATGATTTTGAAATGTGTTGTTGCATAAATAGACTATATTGTTGGAGGGACCTGAGACTTTATTGCCCAACAACTACGCTACAGTTATTGTGCTTATGATACAACTTTTAAATCTTGAAAAGAGTAAGATAAATGAACATGGGGACACAAGTCCTTGAATTTAATTCCGATTAATTTAAATGTACAAAAAAGTAAGTACAATAAAAAGAGGTCTAAAACCTGTGAAAATATGTATATCTGATTAAAGTATAGGGCTTTTCAGTTTTAAAGGATATCGAATTGTGGACAGGTTCAGAGGAAGGTTACAAAGGTGTGTGTTAATGTTATGCAGGACTTGTAATAGGATACTTTACCATAGTTCTGCTACTTTTAAACATTAGAAGACCCCTTATAACTGTCCAGAAAAAATGAAAATCATGAAACAAAATCATGATTAAAACAGTCGCCTGTTCATTTTACTCAACAAAAACTTTGATCACCACATTTTTAAAAATTATGTAATTACTGTACAAGATATGGCAAAAGGAGTTCATTATCAGAGTTCATCAGTGGTCAAAATGTAAAAAATACAATCATTTCAACACATTTCCTGAGGTAAATTACATTTTCATTAGTGCAAATTAAATCTAATATCCTTTAAAGGTATAACAACATTTCATAGACATTAAAAAGTGTTTACATTACAATGATGTGAAATACAGAAATCAATTAGGCAGATTTTTTGGGACATTTCAACTTGATAGCACCAAATTAATTGTCCAAACAAACAATAATAGATTTTATAGAAAATGGTTTAAGTCAATTAAATGACAACTTTGATTTGTTCTGCTAAAGGTAGTTCATAAAAATAGTTCTCTGTTTTCATAAGCATCTATTTAGATATTTTTTCTTCTTCAAACAAAACATAAAAACACATTTGATAAAACACAATGTTTGTCTTTGTGGGGATATAAAAACACCCAAATCTCTATTACGGAGGTATAACACACCTTCTTAGCTTATTCTTCTCCAACAAGTTAAAGCTTGTGCTTGGGCTTAGATTAGAACAATTGATAATGCCAGCAAGCGTAAGGGACAGGTTGCAAACAAAAAATCCAACTCAGGGTTCAAACTCTTTTCCAATAATCTAAAATACACTAAATCTAACGAGCCTCCCTCCAAATCCCCTTCCCAAACTATAATTATAAACGTCAACACACCACAATGAACGTAAAACAACAAATTGCTGTTGTTAGTACTCACAGCTGTCAAACTAGCAGATAACTTGCAGGTAGACAGTTTGGCCATCCCTTCATTTAAACACAATTATTGGTTTAAGTTATTTAAGCCCTGCAACAGCTTCATCTTCTTTTGTCAGAGCATTGGATTTACCGCTGAGATTCTAAAAGTATTCCAACAAGTACAACCATGTTCCCCCTTAAATACGTTCCCAACCCTAGCTTTAATAGCTCTTTCTCAGCAGGGTTAGGGGTGGAGGACGGCTCAGAGAGGAGTTGATCTGACAAAGTGACACAGAGGAACCGACTGCAGCAGCGACCACTAAACTGCTCTTCATCACAGCCGACTCCCACTTAAAGAACTCGCAGCCTTTCTGGATCCTCCCTCCGCTGCCTGAGCGCCGAACCGGGCAGCAGAAGAACCCTCGCCCGTGGTTCGGACCCCCGTTAGAAACCAGCTGACGCTTTGCACGACGCCCACACCCACACAGAGGGGATGTGATCCTCTGACCTACTCTCTTTGATATAGAAAATGAGGATTGATTGAGTGAGTTGGTGGACAAAGAGGCGAGGATAGTCTTGGAAAAAGAGTCACCGGTGGAACGAACAGAGGTTTTAGTTGCGTCGGTGTAGATGGGGAAGGAAGATCTTGGAGTCTCTTTGGGCTTTGGGTGTTGTGTGACGACTGCTCTGGGCTTGGTAAATGAAGTGAAAGGGGTGGAGGTCTTTTCTGGGACGAAGGGTTTGTGCTTGACTAGAGAGGATGTGTTTAATAATTGAGTCATTTTGTTAAACGAATATGAGTTTTCTTGTGCTGGTAGAGAGGTTTTAAGTCCTGTTTTGTAATTTGATTTGTCCGAGGGCACTGCTCTAGGCACAGTAAAAGTACTGTGCTCCGAGATTGTTGAATGCTGCCTCATTTCATGTAAGTTATTGGACACATTAATGTGGGATATGATTTTGTTTGTAGGTAGAGATGTTGTTGATGATTCACCGGTCATATTATGAATTTTAAAGTTGTCAACAATGCTCTTTGTTTCTCTTATTTTGTCCCTTAATGTGACATGACCGCCTGGTAAATGTGCAGCATCAGGCTTTCCCCACACATGACATCCGTTGTCAAAATCTGACACATAATCATGATCAAATTCTCTCTCAGTTTCACCAATACTGACACTTTCTTCCTCCAACACCACATCATCATATGAACCACACCTGTCCTCCGGTTCCACACAGATTGCTTCCCCATATCCTACTTCTTCTCTTGTTTTAGAGGGCTGGTTTGGCAGATTTGAGAGGCAGCCCAGAGTAGTGGAGCACAGAACAAGACTGGTGGTGTTATTGTGGGGTGAAGGACAGTTTATCATAACTAAAGAGGAAGTATTAGCCCCTGCTGAAACTGACATCCTGCTGCATCCCATTAGTGGTGTATTTGTACCATTCAGCAGTGTCTTTGGTGAGATCAGGCTTTGAACAGAGTTCTCCTTTGTGTCTAAATACTTTGTAATGTCCTCTGAACATGATTTTATCTGACGTGATTTAGGAGGAATCTTGGATGATGAAGGTTTTTCTGTGTTAGATGTGTTCTTCTCTTTATCGGTTTTCAACTTTTCCTTTTTGCTGTCTGCAGTTGTGTTTCCAAACATGGGTTTGACCATTGATGGCGCCTATAAGCAGAAGATAAGACAAGAGATATCATCAGTAAAGTATCCCTTACACATAGTCAAATAATTCTGTAGTATGTGCTGCGCGGTATAGTCCTGTAAAGGTGGATGATTTACTCTTCCTGTGTGATCAGAAACAATTACTTCATATTTAATAAAACATCAAGCACTTAAAGGTCCCCTATTATACTGTTTTCATCAATATATTACAGGTCTCAGATATATACAAACATGTCTCTGAAGTGTTTGGCTCCAAACACCAAACAGATCATTGCAGCATCCCATAATCCCCTCTGTTTCAGCCCTGTTTCAAAAGTGCTGATTCTCTGTCTGTTACTTTAGATGAAAATAAGGAGCCCCTCCCCACGCCCCTCTGAGAGATATTTGGTTAAAAAGAACACAATGGTGCTTTAGGAGGAGATTCAGGTGATAAGGTGGGGGGGGGGGGGGGGTTACCTTGGTTGGTGATTGGCTAATGGTTACACAAGCCAACACATCGTTATGACATCATAAAGTGGCCAAAATCTGATCAGCTCATTTTCAGACAGGTTTCTATATAAATGGATCAGGACAAAAAGAGAGAGAATCTTTGTTCCTGAAACTTTCAGAGTCTCTTTACACAGAGGGGACACGTGTTGATGTAGAAGAGACATGAAAAAGTGGATTTTGCATAATAGGTGACCTTTAAGCTAACCAAGTAAAGGACTTGAATATCAATGTTTATGATTCCAACAGTTATAAATTAGTTTATTAACAAAAAAAACCTTCACGAACTATAAAAAAACTAAGTCACCATTCATAACAGGTTTTTGATCACGGAGGCAGAATAGGGTCTGGGGGAGTTAGGAGTTGGGATGCATCGCTGGACGACGGCCACTCACCTTCTCCAGGCTCCGGGTGATCTTCATCACACACCCATCCCTCATCATCCTCACTGCCAGACAAGCGGTGTTTCGGGAGTCATCCAAACCTGAGGGAAGAGGAAAAACAGCATTAGATTAGGCCTATTTTTGATGTAGGTGTATTCTCACAAAAAATGATCTTTGCTTTATGCTTATACCAGAATGTTCTCGTCCTGAAAACTGTATCCCCAGATCCTGTAGCGCCCCATTCAAGCCTTTGGGTTTCTTGTCATAAAACATCTGAAAATACAGAAAAAATGTGTTAATCGCAACGTGAGCAGGGCTGAAATGATTATGTCTCATATAACTGATATAATTATTTAGTAAAAGGTTTTAGCATAGAATATTTGGATACTAAAGAACTTTGTATTTGTTATTACAGTTCGTAACTGGTAACATGACATTTGTAATTGAACACCTTTGTGTCTTTGACTGTTGTCACACAAAATAAGCAAATTAAACCCTGTAGTATTTGGCAACTTAAGATGTACATTTACCAAAACATTAATAAGAAAGCATGAAAGAGAAAACCGGTGTAAAGACAGAGCGATTAAGCTCCCACTCACCCTGTAGGTTCCTCTCAGGTCTATCCAGCTGTTCAGCACAACAGGTTTATGGAGCTGCTTGCGTTTACACTCGTACTGCAAACAAACTCCGAGATCCCAATCTGATATACAACGCAGATGGAAGGAATTTACAGTTAAAAAAATTGAAACAAGGTAAAAAAACGACATGATTTTCTGGTAATGCTTTTCATTGCACAATATGCAACTAAGCTACACAGACAATTTCGTATTCAGTGTTCTTGTCTAAGTTTTGTAATGTTGTAATGTTTGAAGATAGAAATGGCAGTCTAGTTGATGCTTAGAGTGTCTCCAATGCAGGAAATAACCTCACAAGGTAGAGACCAGTTTATACGTTACCAATGCAAGTGACTTTTACCTGACCACGTGACGAAAGCACACGGTTTCTGAGAAGGTGAAGGTGCAGAAGATTTCTGTTGTCCGTTTGGAAAGACCAAACCTTTCTCCACCTGCATCTTCTGCAGCCAGCGGTTAAACCGAGAGAGACAGATCTGAAGGGGGATCCCTGCCTCCACTTGTATCTGTTACACAGGGAAACAAACTGGTCAGATATGATGCAGTAAAGAAAACCGAACCATAAAAATGCACTGGTGAGTTTGTGGCTTTGCATTTATGACTATACACAGAAACCTGTTTAATCCCGGTCAGCTCAGTGCAGAACTCGGACAGAAGGGGACGCTCTTGGGGTTGGACATAAGTATGAAACTCAGACTCGATCTCCCCTGTGGACGTGTTGAGCAGAACAGCAGGAAACTCAACTGCATAGCGGGAGGAGAGAACATAATATAGGTTATCAGCAATAAAGGGAAAATAATGACATGAAGGTGTTATAGAAGGCTACTCACTAATTTCCTGGCCATAGTTGGTTTTCTCTTTCCAGCAAGTTGACTCAAAATCGATCACAATCAGGTATGCAAATATTTGATCTGAAAGGAAACAAGCCGTATAAGTCACAAGTGTAAACATGTAATGCAGAAGGAAAGTGTACTGGCATGAGGATCAAGTCCAAACATTAAAACTCTGTATGCACATTATCAATACATCAGTCATTCTTACTTGATAATAATGTTTTGGATCCATTTGTTGACTGACTCCTCTGCCTCAGTAGTCCCAGTTCTCTGTGGAGACAGAGAGGGATTCCTCTGTTAATTATTCACCAACATATTGTACTTTGCACAGCTCAACATGAAACGGTGCCCCATCTTTTCTGGCATTATCAGTACTCTAAAATCAGTTAACAAATATATTACTGGCATCTTGTACAAAGATTTTGCATTATTTTATGAACAAGTTATACTCAGATTCTATAAAAGTGTCTTTTCAATCTATTGATTGTCCTTGCCAAGTTATTGATGATTGAAGTAAAAAAATCATTTCTTTATGCTGCACATAGTTTGAAATGTTCTTGAAAACTATGAAATCTTGTACAAAAAAACATTCATCTTCAACAAGCGTTGCCTGTAGTATGTATGTAAATATATATTTTATATATATAATTACAGTGTGTTTCTTAATTTGAAATATTCCCTTCATTTTTGCCTATTTCTCTTTCCTTCAACAGAATGACTTTTCAACGTATTTCTTATTGTAAAATGTGTGATGTGCAATTTGTTCAATACAACATTAATATATAATAAATTCTTACTTATTAAGTATTTAGTTAAACCTAATGATGACTGTTAATAGCAGCTACTACTAATATTAGTGGTAGTTTGTATGTTTATATGATCAGTAGATTAGTGAGTATTCTAATGTATTCTGTATATTTTATAATATTTAGATACTCATCTAATTATTGAGAATATGTAATGGTTTATCTTTATTTTTTGTTAATGTTTAAGTAATTGTGTAATTCCTGTAGATTGACTTTCAAAATGCTGCTGTGAGGTAAATAAAGAATCTCCTACAGAAGATACAAAGCAACGTCTCTGTCTTCTCGGTGTTGTTTAGGTTAGCATTAGCTGCTTAGCTAACGTTAAAGGCACTCGGTTAGTCAGTTACTTACTTTGCAAGTTTCTTTGTAGTCATTATGTTGGATATTTCTTACGTTGTTTAAGATTCTTAAAACACGCAGGAAAGGGTCGCGCTGTTTCTTTTCAAATGTCCATCCATCAGTACGAGTTTGATTAACAGGGTCTGACTCTGATAGTATCGTAAATCAACTGCAGAAAAAAACATCGATCACAGAAAAAAGGCGGAATTTATCGAAACGATTAGCATTTCCGGTTTTACCAAAACAAAAGCGTAAAATACACAAGCCCACAACAACCTTTAAACGCCAATATTGTGTGAGTATAATCTTTTATTTTTTATATTTTTAAAGATGTTCAAATATACGCAATGCTATCCACATTTACTGATTAAAGGACATTACAGAGTTGACCATTCTTTTATTTTGAACGTCTCTCACCGGAAGTGGTACTAGTTGTTTTTACTTTATATCACAAGTTTTAACGTGGAGTGCCCATGTGTTTTTAGCTTCGACTAATGGTGAAAAAACATGAATTTCTAACCTTCAGGACCAATAACATCTGGTATTTACATTTTTTAATCATCGACACCCTTCCCACACGTTTGCCCAACTTATAACTACTCCTTAATAGTAATTGTATATGTGTATATTTATTTTTTAAAGTGTTAGCTAAGCTAGGTGTGTTGGTTTCCTTTACTCTTAATTCCTACTTTAGTTTAAGCGTCTTGGTATACATTTGAAAGCTCAGACACCCTGCTTTAATGCGGAATACATTGGTGAATATATTTACCAGTTAATGCATTTTGTTAAAGCTTAAACTGACTTTATTTACCTGACAAATAAAGTAAACACATCATTATACTGTCACTATACACATCCTTTAATAATGGGATGAAGTAAACGACACCCTTACATGTAAGCAAGTCCACTTAGCACAATAGTCACTTTGTTGCTTTACTGCTGAAGTAATCAAGATGAATTCAAATCACAACCATGATATTTTAGATATCGTTAACAAAAGTCTCTGTTACTTGTATACTATAATAACACATCATGAAGGGTGAAGTTCTGAGAAATACATTTCGGGATATTTATAATTTTATCAAAATTAGGACATGAAAACCTTCATCTTCACTACATCATTAATTTATATTCTTCTTTGTGAATATGGTGTCTTAGCAAATAGTATCCGCATTGTAATGTACCGTTAAAAATAAGATTCAAGTAGGGAAATATCTGATCAAAGATTTAGTAAACCACATCTGACGCAAAATTGACAGTTTTTGATATTAAAAATAACAGACACATCATTTTTAGTAATACTAATATGTGGATAACCACAGAGTGCTCCCCTGTTCTAACTTCACAAGTAAAACAATACAATTCTGTGAATCTTAGATATACTTCTGCTTGTTGTTTGTTTTTTATGTACTGTGTCCTGATATTTGTCTAAGTTGATGTTAAACATGGAGCTGCTCTGATGCAAGTCAAATTTCAGACTTGATCTGACCATTAAAGTAATATCATATCGTATCGTACTGTTAGACATTTGACAGCCATGACACAATGTAATTTTCAATATCCTTTTTTACCATCCTTTAAAAACACAGGCTTGAATATGGAGCCCTTATCGGCAGAAGTGACATGCAACGGGAGGAAGAGAAAGAGGATCGCCCCTGCAGAAAATAAGGAGGTCAAGAGATTAAAAACAGAAGAAGGAGAGGAGACTCTGGAGTCTGAACGCTCCTCTCGCTCACCGAGGATCTCTGTGCTGCCCGACCGCCTTCAACAACCAATAACAGCGAATGATCTGACAGAGCTGCTGCATTACGCCGCTCTGGGGAAAACAGCTGGCGTTGAACAGCCCAGGTAATGACTGTGGTAGTTAGATGTCATGTACTTCATCTGCTTGCATCAAATACGTCTCTATAATGGACTTTTACCCTGTCCCTGTGCTATAACAATAATCTAAATGATCTTTTTAAAACCCCCCTGTGTGTCTCTTTCAGTTGGTGTCACCTCAACCTTCAGAAGAGGGTTAAAGCTGTGAATGTGGTGATGATAGAGGGGCTGACCCAGAGTCACTTTTACAAACACTACCTCACTCTGCAGCACCTCAGGACCAACTACAGCACTGTGAGTAACCAGAGGGGACGGAGATGTTTTTGGTTTGAACTGGGGATAACGGTGCTATTCAATGATGTGCAGACAGTGGGAAATGAATATTATTATGTATATTCTGATTATTATATTTTAGCCCATTAATTTTCGGCCAATAATACAAAAGTTATTGCTTGAATACGCCGACTAAACGGCCAAACCTGTCTCCTGTTTGAGGACATTTTACACAGTTTCAGAGGAAACTACTGAACTTTGAAATACCATTTTTTTGGTAATGTATATGCAAATAAGAGTAAGAGCTATGGAATAGTAAACCAGCCATCTCTGCTGTATACATCTGAGCTTTTAGTGTGCTCAGGTGTGCAGAAACTACAGATTATGCATCTGTTTTTAAATACAACATTTTAAATATGATAACTGATCCGGTTTCTTCCATGAAAAGCAGGTTGTTATCAGAGATTGAATTGAAAAATCCTCATTGTGCATCCCTATTTAAAACGTTTGTATCTGCCTGGTTTAGAGGGTCACGTTTACTCCATCCTCCACCGACCTGGCCTCAGGAATCTTCAGCAGTGAAGTTCCTGAATCAGACGATCCCTCTGTTTCCCAAAGACACAATGGAAGCAGTGATTTACCAAAAGGTGAGAATCTTATGTGGATATGTTTGAAGTCAGTGTGTGTACACTAAGGCAATACATGAACAATTTATCATTAGTATTACATAAGAGTAGCTATTGCTTTGAGTTTGGTTGTCAAGAAAATATAATTTAGCCCAAAGACTTTCCTGAATATTAAAGGCTACTTTTTGAACTTGTGTGATATCCACATTTCATTTGACTGTTACTAGAAATGATCATCTCGTGGGTAATTATCCTCTGTGAACTCTAACACTTATCCCACAATATCATATTATGCTATTGCGGCTTTTAGTCAAACATTATCATATCTCTCAGCAGTAGTTGTGCTTGAGTTTTCTCAGTGTTTTTGATCTTGTTCTTAATGATGTCTTTGTGTTATTTAACACTGCTGCAGGCCTGAGGATTCACCCAGTAATCACCAAGTTTGGGACCAAGAGGAGAGGACTGACAGCGTATGTTCTCCCCGAGGAGGAGATGGTCAAGAAACGCTGGCCTGTCAAAGGTGAGTTTTTAACTGTCAATCTGAATATATAGAAATTGTATGTTATTGTTTTACAAAAGCTCTGTTTTTACCTCATCCTCACCAGAATGCATTTTCAAATGTATCTTTGTCTCTAAAGTATTACTTATTGCTTTTGCACAGGAATGCCAGACTTCCAGGACTTTGTGTGCACAGACAGTGTTGACTGTGTGACTGACAGCAGCCCTCTGTATGGACTCGACTGTGAAATGGTGAGTTGCTCTTTCCCCAAACACCCTGCAACATTTCAGTACAAAACATAGTTTCCATGTGGTACTCTGCACATTACAAAGTACAGAAAACACAGACAGAAAACAGAAAAGGAAAGCAAACTCAACAACAGCACAGCATGTAATGTCACATTAAAGGTAGGGTAGGTAAGAATGGAGAAACCAGCTCGAGTGCGCTAGAATTTGAAAGTACGCAGCCGAAAAAAACCCCTTCCTTCAGACTTCCTTACAGAGCCCCTCCTCCAACACACACGAACGCGCACATGACCAATGAGGGCACGAGATAAGTTTGTGCACAGATGGAAGGCTGACAGGCAGGTAGGCCATCCAGTTATTTTAGCCGGGCCGGCTCAGATGATTGGTCGTGCTTTTTACAGCGCTATGGCTTCCACAGATGAAATATTTGTATGTATTTATTGTCAAAGCATTTAATGTATTCATTGCTATCGGGATGTTAAGAGCATTCCATGGAATATAACAAAAAGTGTTTCTGAAGTGAATTACCTATCCCACCTTTAAGTGCATGGCAACACTCTATCAGGTCAAAATACAATGTGCTATAAATACTATAAATATGTCTTTAAGGTAGGAACCATCCTTCAAACCAGTTTTGTTTTTTAAATAGAGAGCAATATGTTAGAATATGTATTATACTTGGAGTCCTTTTGAAAGAAATGTACCACATGACAGAATGAGCTTTTAACATTTGATGCATTTATAATCCAATTGCTGCTCAAACAATACAAAGAGCAGCTCAAACTGTAAAACCACCTCATCTAAATGACAAAAATAAAACATGTCTAGATTTGGCTTCTTCCTCTCTAGTGGCCACTCCATTTATTAAGCTTTTTCTTAGCAACGTTTCATTGAAATTTCATTGCTTTTTGGGAAAGATGTCCATGTTCTGAGCTCTATAAAGGTTTCTGTACGCTAATGTCTTCATGTTGTGCTTCAGTGTCTGACAGAAAAGGGTAATGAGTTGGCTCGTGTCTCTCTGGTGGACAGTGATGGGAAGTGTGTGCTGGATGAACTGGTGAAACCTCCCAACAGAATCCTCGACTACGTCACCAGGTGCACACACACACTCACACACTCACAGAAACACACACACTCACAGAAACACACACACACTCACACACTCACAGAAACACACACACACACTCACACACACACAGAAACATACTCACACACACACACACACACACACACACTCACACTCACACACACACAGAGACTCACACACAGAGACACACACACACACACACACACACACACACACACACACACACACACACACACACACACACACACACACACACACACACACACACACACACACACAACACTAGTGTATTTTTAGATAACAAACATCATTTCAAAACACTTTAAACATTTGTGTTGCCTGCGCTGCTGGCTGCCCTCTGATAGGTTCTCTGGCATAACTGCAGCGATGTTGCGACCAATCACAACGACCCTACGGAATGTTCAGACGAGGCTCAAGACGCTGTTGCCTAGCGATGCAGTCCTGGTGGGACACTCACTAAACAACGACCTCGTCGCTCTGAAAGTGAGTTACTGCGGACATCAATCATTGATTTTAGATAGATATTTCATTTTGAAGATGC